TTGTTATATATGAGTAAATATCAATATAATAGAATAGTCCAGTTGTTGAAAGCCCAGGATATTTGCATTGATAATAACGATATATATTAGAGAAAGGTTAGCCAGAAGTGATAATTAAGAAAGGGAAGTTAGAAAGGATAAATTAGGATTAAAATTCCAAAGATTAAGAGATTTATATATTGTCTACATTATTGATTAAGGGGTGTATTGAATATAGTCAGTTTCGTAGTATATATGATGCATATACAGGATACGATTAGTGGCCACTAGCCTAGCGCACGTATGTATATAGCTTTTTTGAAAGTTCCCCCTCTTAATATTCTTTAAGTTAGCCAATAAGCATTGAACCCACTATATGATATCCAGTCTACATGATTCATTATTCAACTATACTTGACCATAATTTAACATCTTATATTATAGTTTTAATATTATATTACGAAATGAAAAGATATACCGCGAGTAATAGCCGCAACTTATAAATATTATATAATTCTTATTATTTTAAATTTTAATTAGTATTTTACTTATATTAGATTAAAAGTCGAAAACTTTTAAGCAATTAAATAAAAGAAATAGAGAAATAATCCTGAGTCTCTAATCTTATTATAATAAATAAAGAGAAGATATAAATATATAACTATATTTTCTACTTATAAAGTTTTCGTTCCGTTTAAGCTTCTAGATATTCATTGAAAAGAGATTTGTATAATTGCTATATTCTGCATTGTGCCGCGGACCGGCATATTTAGAATCATTTGAGACAATCAAGTTGCTTTCAGATCATTCATCTACCACGACCATGAATGAGCAGATAATCTTTGTGCAGTTGTAAATGAATTGGAAATTCTATTCATGCCCTCTTTCAATAATTGACCATGAAAATGTACTCTTTACAACTCAGTTCTGCTCGGAATTCGTTTGTGAGGATGCATATTTCTATTGCTTCCCCTCACCACTTCTCACATGCGTCCCTCCAAATATTCACAGTACCCCTCAGTGCCCTCCCTACAAGTCCCGTGCTTCTCCGCTTCAAAATAAAGATTCCGGAGTGCTCTCTGAATCTTTTTGATCGGCAAGGGCGCCATTCATACTACGTAAATCTACCCAGTAAGGCTTTCTACCCCTCCTAACCTATTCTTTTCGCCTCTACTTTCGAAGTCGCGACGGGGGCCCCAAAGTCTTCAAACTAGCTGGCCTCAGAAATATACAGACTATGACCAATGATGGAGCCATCAATCGCTTGCTATATGCAATACTCAGTCAGAAATGTCTCAAAGATGTATGCCAGCCCTTGCTAAATCAATCATTTGATCTATAATATCTTCCATGAAGTATGAAATTAACTTTATAGATTGACTGGAACAAAGTAGCACATGATCCTATCCTTTCTCAAGAGATCACCAATGGCCATGCTGCTCGAATGCGCTACTCTCGATTCAAGAAACAGATGGACGGCATGACTTCAATGCCAACTCGTCCTAGGAAGATCGCAACTCCGCGACGCTCCAGGGTCGAGAAGAATAAATTCGCCAAACGAGAGCCGAGAATCAATAGTCGTACAGATAGTCTCGAAAACATGGATCTCCCCTTTCGCCTGAAGTCTGAAACTCAGGTCGTGCACCCATCCTCTTCCACGAACATGATCACCACAAATATGGACCACAAAGTCCCGCTCTCCACACTTCATATTGCTAAGTTCGAACCCACCACACCCATCACTTCCCACCTCAAAACGAAGACCGAGTCCAACCTCCTTATTCCGTTCTCCACTACACCGTCAGAGTCCTTCCATCTTCAAACTTCTTTCCCTATGGACTCGCCCACCTCTCCCAACAGTCCCATACTCTCAACTCCTGGTGTTATGATGAGTCTTAATAGTTCTATGAGTAGTACCGCAAGTCTAGACAATTGTATGATGGATACCTCGCTCTTCAGTCTACCACTATATGAGCAAGCTGAGTACAAGGGATCCATAGGGGCTGGCCATCGGGGCGAGTTAAGATGTTGTTTCGACCCTTGGAATCGGGACGAGGGTGGATTTGGTAACATTACTAGTGGCGTTGAAGATGGAGATACAATCATGGTCAAGAGGGAGACTTGTGATGATGCTTCTTATGGATTCTTCTGAAGAAGAGATTGGTGAAAAGTTGAAAAGTGGGAGAGTCGAAGAATTCGCATAGTCTCGCGTAGCGTAGGAACGGATACTTGTGGTCTGAAGGAGTGTGTCTCTATTTTGCCATTTTAATAATCTACTCAACTTTTTATTCATTTTCGAACCATTTCCTGAACACTGATGCATCAATGTGCCAACAAACCCTCGACCCCAATAGTAGTACATGCCTCTAATAGTTTTGTTTCAAAGCTGCTGCATCGGGCATCTCCCTCTTTACAGATGCGAAAACAACACCACAAATCTAAGCATAGTCAGTACATACCCCTCCGATGACACCGTTCCAAAGTTACTCCATCTACCTCTCCGCAGACGTGATCCTAAGACTGCCGTTCTCTACTGGTCATGTGCCCTCTGGTACTCTTATCCTTCTTCTTGTCATCCTCCGGTTCTGACTTCACTCTGAAGCACACTACACTTGGTTTCGTATTGGTGTTGAAGCAATATTTAGAGATTTGTCTACCGTCAAGAACCGTTGCAAGGAGGCGACTGTCCAATCTTGTATCGCTATTGACAATATATTTAGGACTGAGTTCACTTCGATGACTTGTTCCAGATGGTCGAGTATTATACGCTTGTGAACTTCTGGAGCTGGCCCGAGCTTCATTGATTCTCTTTCCGACAACCCTTCTCTTGAACATTGGCGTTGTTATTATTGCAGATTTATCTGCACGAGTCCCATTCCGAGGCGTTGCTGCCGTTGTGACGCCACTTCTAGCACGAGATGGCTGCTTGTTTTCTGTCGGACCATGGTTCATTCTCTCGTGGTTATGTACCGATCCCGTTGTTGTTTTCCTCATTATACACTCCACAGCGCTCAAATCTGACTGTGAACTACTACCTCCAGATGAGTTCGCTCTTTGGTGGTATGATTTGTGAGATACAGGTCCCTTTCGATCTTGTGTCACGGCAGTATCCTCCCATTGACATTGGCCTTCTGCATGCTCATCCTTAATCTCCTGAGTACTAGACGACTTCCGTATATGATACATGCTGGTTTTATCCTTCTGGAACAAGAAACACTTTGGATGAAAGGAAGGATTGAAGTTTCCTGACCTTGATTGTCCGTATGAGTATATGTAATGCGCTGATATGCATATATACTCCTCGTAACCGAACTTCTTAGCGATCCGCTCCCATGAATAACCAAAATGACGTGCCCTATAGAGTCTCCTCACTTCAAATTTCGTCCATCTTATGCGGGCGGATTCATTTTCAACTTCATTGATCCCATGTCTCTCCAGGAAGCTTTTGTATGCCCTTGAAACTGTCTTTGCGTTCGTACCAAATGCTTGAGCGATTTTCCCCCAAGTCCACAAGATGCTGGATGTGCGGATCTTGTGCATGTGTCGCATCAATTCTTCATCTCGGGCCAGAGTCTGGTGACGGTGGCCAGAAAGTCTTTGAGCCCTCTGGTACAGGGACGCCGAACTGTGGGGATTTATCCAGAATTTCTTCTTGTATCTGGCGATAAATTGAGCCCATGATTCGGACACTCTACCACTACGCCATTCCCTATAATTGCAAAGATAGGTATCTTCTCCAGTGGAATAACTTTGACTCTTAGCACGTAAAGCTGGCATTATGGATATGTCCGAGCTCCAGCAACAGGTAATGAATGGATTGTCCTAGCAGTGGTATTGTTGTCGCAGGTATGTATCATTTCTATCAATACCTGGCCTTGAGATTGGAATTAGTAGATCTTCTAGAATTTGTCAGTCATGAATATTTCATATCTGGCTTGAGTAAAGTGGGAAGATACATACGTGAAACGAAGCTTAATTATGTTCGTAGGTCAAACCCAACAATGGAACTGATTCGAATAACGTATGTATTACCAAAACCCAGATGGTAATGGCTTTCATGCAAGCGGTACTGGAGTGGTATCTCTATGGTAAATATGTAGTGATGACCCGTGGTAGTGATAGTTTTCAGCGAGAAAGTACTTTATACACACATAAAGGCAGAATGGTGTCGGATTGAATAATAATGGAGCAATTTGTGTTTCTAGAAAGAACTTACAGGATGAGCAAGAATGGGTTTTAGCATCTGTTTACATTGATGTACCTGTAGAAGGAGCGAAGACAAGTTCCAAAGAAACCGATTGAGATTTATCATCAAATGAGGAAGGAAGAGTATTGTTTAGAGATAGTAAACTTACATAGTTTTTGTCACACGCCTAACATCATGGCAAAGAAAAGGGATAAATAAAGTTTGGAAAGCCGCTGGGCAATAGTAATAATTTAGAGAAATTTTATGTTCACTATAGGAGCCATCCAGAAATTCTAGTCATGGAACAAAAAGAAAGAGTAACCTTTCTTGCCTATAGCCAATGCCTATGGAGCGTAAAGCTTACTGCCAGTAGCTTTGCTGGAAATTGATCACTGAAACAATCTTCAGTGCCTGCTGAACATAAAAAATCGATTCACAGATATTTCTTCTGATTAGTAGTATTTTTAGTATACAATCTCTCACCCAAAAAAAAACCAATGAATTAGAAAGTTCTACTTCCCATGCACCAGTAACCGCCAACCCCCCAACGCCAGCGACATTACCCGTCTCCAAACGCCATCATCATTGTGATATATCCGGTCATAATCCACTATTCATCCTACCCATCTAACCGCCGTCCTACACTGTCGCCCTGAGCCTGAGATTCTGGAGCAGCTTCAACCTTAGCCTCCACCTTCTTGCCCGTCTTTAATGACTGTCCTTGTCCCGAGAAATGGGGCTGCCTCGCATTTGAATTCTCTTTGTCCTTATCTGCTTGTGTTTTGACTGGTTTGATTTCGTAACCGAAGAAGAGTTTGTTTGGTGGCAATCGAAGAGGTTGGGGACCATTCGTTCTTCGAACCGACACAGTAGGTGTATTCGTGCTAATTCCCGCAACAGGAGTAGAAGCAGTAGGCGTAGGTGTTTTTGCGCCCTTCTTTGCGCTCAGCTTATGACCACCGGATACAAAGTTGGATGATGCGGCTTTGGCGCCTTGGGCGACGGAATTAGAGGTCGGCGCAATGGCATCGTAATTAATGGCCTGTGCCATAGTTCCTTGACTATGAAGCATTCCACCTGCAGGTAAGCCACCGATGACACTTCTGGGGGTACTAGTTCCACTGCCGCTGGCTCTGGTCGTTGTCGGTTCGACGTAGCCTAATGGAGCAGCGAAATCGACTGAGACATCTGTTTCGAGCATACTGACCCCCATCTTATCAGTGACCGGTTTAATCTCTAATACGGCAACATCGTAGACAGTATCGTTGTAGTAGAAGCTGAAGATATCGCCCTTGGTAAGCGTAGAAAAGTCGCGAAAGGCTTTTTCGAGCACGGCTTTGGGGTTGGAGATATCGAGGAAGTCGACGGATTGTGGTTGGAGCTTGATAAGAGACGCAGGGGGAAGATCAGTCGATTTGATTTGGAAAAGATCTCCAGTTTCTAGCTCGAGAGTTTGCATCATCTAAGGCCATGTGGTTAGTTTGGAAGCAATATGCTTAAAGATACAGAGAACATGCGTACCCAATGTGGTAGATAGACCTTTCCTTCATCTGCAATAAACTCCAGTACACCAGCATGTGTCAGCTTCGATCCATCGCTACCTTGACCGTTGATGAGCTCGAAAAGCATAGGGTATGTGATGTGCAATCGAGTAAGTTTCTCCAAAGCAGATGGTGGCATAATAATCTTCCCTCCATAATTGAGATTCTGTCGCTCGGGACCTGGTATCATGACGGTTGGATAACATCGATAGTACTCGTCGAAACGCTTAGGAGGTCCTCGCATGCCACGTTGCTGTAACATTTGATACATGGCAGCTGGATCATCTCCTTCGTAAAAACCCGAGTAAGACTATGGAGGTGGTCAGTATTAAAATATTACATTGCTTGCACACCTTCTCTGCATACCATTTTGGTTTGAATAACGCAAGATCTGTAGGGTTGATGAAGTCTACAGCTGTATTATGAAAGAATCGAAAGCTCAAATATTGTCGAGAAAATAAGAATTCGTCGAGAATTTATTATTCGCAAATGGATTGTAATAGTACTGAGTAGGTTGTGGTGGCAGCTCAAAGGCTGTCAAAAGGATGACGCAGGAAAGCAGGACATTATTAATGGCTCTCGGTTGTTTCAATGGCGGGGAATCTTAACTCCGAGACTTTACGAGTACAAAGCCTTGAACGCTTCCAGACCCCCCACGAAGTTCGAATCACAAATATGTCTTCTAGATACGCAGCTGCACGACCGAAACGTGCAGGTGAAGAATTCGCTCGTTCACATCGTAATGAAGATGAGGATGGCCCTTCAAAGAAACCAAAATTCGACTTAAGAAATCCATCTGCTTTGGTAGCTGATGAACCGGAAGAGGATGCGGTCTTGGACGCAGATGTTATTGCGAGTCGAGGAACGGGTGTTAAGAGAGGAGCTGTCAATATCGATGGCTATGATTCAGATTCGGACAATGAAGGGTTTGACGCGCGGGCAGACGAACGAGCTAGAGGAAAGAAGGGCGAGGTAAACCTGGCGGAAGCCCTAGATGGATATAGCAAAGAGAAGTCCGGGGTAGCAAACAGGAACACAGACATAGAGGAGGATGCGGACATGTTTGCAGACTTAGAGGACGAATTTGCAGATGGCGATGAGGATGAGAATGAGCTAAAGGCACGGAAGAAAGTAAAAGAAGTACGGTTCTTGAAGGAGGACGAGATTGAAGGTCAGGTTTTGGGCAGTAAGAGTGGTGGTCATGTATCTGGGAATTTTACATTGGACCCGAAAGGAAAGTTGTCAACACATGCGATGGACGACCAGGATAGCAGCGATGACGAAGAAGATGCTGTGTTAGCTGCGCAAGAAGAAGACGTGGACGAGGAAGTTGGCGCCGGTGGATTGAAGAGAAATGCCCCAAAAGTTGATGCGTTCAACATGAAGGCTGAACAGGAAGAAGGGAAATTTGATGCGAATGGAAACTTTGTGCGAAATGCAGCGGATCGAGACGCGGTTCACGACAGTTGGCTGGAAGGGATCAGTAAGAAGGAGATGAAGAAAGCTGCAGAAGCACACGAAAAAAGAGAGGAGGAACGACGGCAAAAAAGACTAGAGGATGATGCCATGTTACTCTCAGATATTCTGCGGACGGTAATACTACGACTAGAGAAAGGCGAGACGATTCTTGAGGCACTTGCTAGACTTGGAAAGGGACAAGCCAAAACGAAGAAAATACCGAAATGGAAATTAAACAAGCAACTCCAGAAAGACAATTCTATGGATGTGGATGCTGAGAAGGCCGAAGACCCAGAACAAGTTAGGATACGAGAGGCCATAAATGCCATCACGGGAGCTGCTGATCAACTACTCATAAGAGGCCAAACGGATGTTTATGAGCAGGAAAGAGAGATGCTTATCCGGCAATATCGAAGGGAGACGGGAGAAGACTGGGCAGAACCACCTGGAGAAGTAGCTATGGACGAAGAGATGAGGCTAAAGACTAGCACAATGTGGGAATATAGATGGACTGATGGTCGTGACGGGGCTGCCACGCAAGGCCCCTTTGATGGTCCGACTATGGTAGCATGGCAGGATGCAGGCTACTTTGGAGAGGGAGTTGAGTTCAGGAGAGTAGGACAGGAGGGCGTTTGGAGCAGAGTCGTGAATTTTGTATGACTACGATATGATACCCGGAACGGAAAAGCAGTGAGCACATGTAATTTACAGCGATACAGTAGCTCAAGTTTGACTTTATCTCGCAGCGATAGCTCGAAGACAAATGTGCACCGCTTTTCATTGATCATATGGGAAATGCCACGTCTAAACCACTCGCACACACTTTATAGAATATGCGCATCCTACCACAAATCTCAGCTAGAGGGACCGCTCATTCCATTATTTTTCATTAAATGCGCCCACATTTAGTCAGCCCTAATATACAACATAAAGTTCTACCATTTGCATTGCTTGCCACAGCAAACAGGAACGGCCCAACGCCATATTATCCCATCTCAAATCCCTCATCAAATCATCAAAGTTCCATCGCATCGCCATGACCATTGGTCACTGACAAGTTCACATCTCCTTCATCACCAATAAAACGTTTCTCAAAGTCCGTGACGAACTTGACACTGCGTGCAGAGTCAAAGAAAAGGGCAAAGCTTCGTTGAACGTCTTCGATACCGATCTGCGTAGCCTTTCGTTTCGCACAGATGAGTTGTGATGTGGTGATAAGGTTACTGGCATATCTGAGACCGGCTTCTTGTCCAATCTTAGTTAGTAAGGCTAGTGCATCAGAAGAAACATCGACTTCCTCTTCTTGTGCACGAATGGAAAGGATCTGCTGAATCTCTTCTTTGGCGTATGGATGAGTGCTAACAATAACAACACGATCTAGGAAGTCAAGAGGTAATCCATGGGGACTTTTGTAATTCGTGCCTCGAATTCTAGAATTTCCACGGTTGCTTGCCATTATGACGATGGGTGCGAGCTGATCCTCTAAAGCGCGATTGATATATGAAAAGCATTCGATATCCAGCATATGAACTTCGTCGATGAAAAGAACACCAGGCACAATTTCGGCTTTTCCCTCTTCCTTCCATTCCGCAACCTTTGTGTTGATCTGATCACGAACCTCGCTTCTGATTTCTCCAGTGTCCCCCGAGAAAAGAGCCAAGAAACCCTGCGTCCTTGAGTTAATCACGTCAATCTCGTGTAAGCTCACGGTGTGGACGACTTCTTTGCGCTTCTGCAGCTCACCGTCTGGACACTGCAAGAACTTTGTGTCCACACCCATTGCATCGTAATCTCTCGATTTTGCGTACGATCGTCCCAGCTTGGTAATTTTGCCCGAAGATTTGTCAATTGTTATAATGTCTCCTGCCATTACGCGCTCTTTTGTCATCGAATCGATCATTTTGCTTCCCATGTCGTATATTGTCTCCATATCCGTGGTTTTGATGGTCAATTTGCCCTGTTTGGTACCACCTGTTACACTCCTGTCGGTCTGTATCTCAACAACCTCTCCCTCGATCATCTCACTTTCCTCCTTTATGCGCACACCAATTGACTTTCGAAAGGCTTGGGTAAGTGCTTCCGTTTTCGACATTTCCAGAGAAAATATTTCCGAAGAAGCTAACATGGTAAATGGCACGTCCGAACCTAGAGATTGTGCCATTCCCATTGCTATTGCGGTTTTTCCAGTACTGACAGATGAAAATCAATACAAATCTTATTCGCAAACTCTACATTTACATACCTCGGAGGACCTGCAATCAAAACTGCTCGACCTGCTATCTTCCCTTCCTTGACCATTTGTAGAATTACAGCTGCAGCCTTACGCGCCTTCTCTTGTCCTACAAGTCCTTGCGATGATGCACGGGGTTCAAGACTATCTGGATCAACACCTAGACCGCGAATATGAGAATGAGCCGCAATTAGATTGAGCCCACGCAACTCTTTGCTCTCCGAGACCGTTTGAATTGCCTAGAAAATATGTAAGTTCAATTGTAAGGAGTAACGAAAGGTAAAGATATAGAATTGAAGCTTACTGTAGTCATCGTGAAGGACTGGCGATACGATGAATGAGGGAAGTTGAGGGATGTACGCGCAAAAAGTCGTCGTATACAGGACTGAACTGGACAAGGCGGAAGGGAAGTTCTAAATCTAAAAAAATGTTTGTCATCTGAGGCTACTGGGCAAGGCTTCCAAGTTAAGTTGTCCAATGAAAAGTTGGTGTGAACCTATCCTATCTGACCAGTGACCACATTTTGCACTATGCTATACTGAGTCTAGCTGAGCTTGTGGAGTATGCATCACCCCTACTAGCTTAAAGTTATTAGTAATATAAGACTTACCAAATTCATTTAAAAAGCGCGCGTTTATTTCATCTGCGTTTATTCATTTGAATTTACTTTCCTCGCCCTTTCTCTATTCAAACGAAAACAAAACCTTGAAAACTCCTATTGACATGATTCTACTTCACTCATAACTTCATTTCATTATTTACCGATTTGATAATTGGATTTCAAGTTTCGATTAAGGATAAGAGATCTGAGTCAAAGAGTAGGTAATAAATCTTTTTCTGATTATAATCTCTCTAATCTCAGTCGTCAAAGTCTCACCAAGTCACCTATCTCAAATAAGACAAAAAAAGTTGATATTGGAGCTTGAAAATTCAGCTTTGCCTTTTAAACTCATTCGATCAATATTTTAGATGTTTTAGTCATTCCAAATTGGCAATATTGAGGTCACAAACAAATATTTGTGAGCTTCAATTTTAAGCTTAAGTTTATCCAAACAAATTCGAGATCTAAGCTTCTTGTGTTTGCAATACAGGGGTACTATCAATATAACAGTTACATCTCTTTGGTTTGGCTCACTGCTAGCCACACTCCTGTAAGTTTTATGAAATCAGAATCTTCAAGGTTATCTATCACCTTGCTTGAAGATGCGCGAGTGCTGGGAGGAGCGTGGATCTTTTGGTCATTCCAGGTGTTTTCAAATACTTCTTTTATTACAAAAGAATCTTGGGCTGCTGCTAACCGATCAGAACCTCCAGACCATTTTGTTGTCGATGATACCAAATAGGAAACGAAGAACAGCGGCCTCAAGCGTCAAAGTATCTCGATACACAAGGAACCGATACTTGGTGTTCACCAGCTATGTCTAGCCGGAATTATTCAGGGGAGAGAGCGCCTCCACGAGGACCAGCACTGAATTCTTACCGTGATGATAGGCATAGATCAGATAGACATCATAATCCCAGCGACAGGCACGTCGACGACGAGGATTATGATTCTTCTCCTAGGGTGCACTCTTATGACAGAGACAGCGGCACTAGGAGAAACGGAGATGGAGCTGGTTGGGATCGAGGAATTCACTCTTTGGAGAAGACCAGTTCGATAAATGCTCAACGTTTTAACTCTAATAATTCCTCTCCTATAAAAACACCAAATGTTACTGAAACAATATCAAGAGGCAAGTACTATCTAAAGATTCTTATCTTCATAACAATCATTTATTATATGAAGTATCATCAGATTCAAAATCATTACACTCAATGTTAAGTCCTTCACTAAGTGGCGTGGTTCCTGATGTATCTCTCAAAAGCAGATTCTTTATAATTAGATTATGTAATCGAAACTAACAAAATATAGGAATCAATCGTCGCACGGAAGGAAGTCCACATCAACAGCAGAGGCCAAATTCTACCACGGTTTTAACTTCAACTAATTCAAATGATATGATGGAAGTCCGTAAAAATGCTCTCATCAGCACTTCTGAATCAGTTCCAGTCAAAGAACTATCCAAGCCTGAACTTGTTGATGCTTTAATGCATTTCGTCGAACACACTTCTTCTCGAGGCGTGCTGTATCAAGAACGAAATTCAGCGAAGAAAAATCTGGAAGATCAACTCGAGGAAATCGAGATCATGGCTCCCACCATGAGAAGTTTTCCTACACATATGAGCACACAAAGTATACGAAAAACCGAGGCTGAAAAGATCTTGAAGACGGCTGAAGAAGAGCTTGATAAAGTCACGGTCTTAGTTAAAGAAGCAGCAGAAGTCATTGCCTCTCATATAACCTTCAAAGCTACTCCTACCATCGACAATTCCGCACAGCCTCTCCAAAAGCGTTGTCTAGATCTGGAAAACAAAGTAAAGGAACTTGAAAAACTTGTGGCCGCTGTGGATCAAAAAGACAAATCATCCGATATCAATGACTGTTTCCGAGATGTTCAAGCCAAGCATCACGAAGTCATCAGAAAGATACAGACTAGTGAGGCGCAGATCATCGGAAAGATTCAAACCAGCGAGGCCAAGGTTTTGCGTGAATACCAGAATTTGTCTGAGAAGCATACAATGCTTGAGGGGCAGCATCGAGCTACTCGAACCGACTTTGATTCAACAAGAACCCGTCTGGATATTCAAAACGAATCTGTAAAGAAGCATGAAGCGATGATCAACATCTCAAAGCAGGAGATGGCTATGCTTCAGCAGCAGATTGGCGAAAGTTTTGTCATCATGAAAGCCAAAGACAACGATATTGATCAACTTACAAACAAGGTCACGACCCTTCAGAAGTTGCTTGATACCCACACGTCTTCTTTTGAGTCTTCCTTCAATGACTTGAACCAATCAAACCATCTCGAAAGACTAAGCCAATTAGAAAATGCCAAAACAAGCGTTGTTGAACTTCAAAATCAACACAAGACTGTCCTTCAGACCCTTGAAAATTTTCAGGGGGATCTAAGTACACTAAGGGATAAGGTTGTTCAATTCGAGAAAGCTCCTTCTCACACTCCATCCACTCCGGCTCCTCATGTCACACCAAAGCTATCAAATATATCAAGTGCAGCAATGATGGGGATGATGCAAACGAAAATTCGCGACCATGAGCGGGACATTAAGCTTTTGCTAGAAAGAGAAAGACCTACGAAGGCCGAACGTCCTTCGGGATCTGCCAGCCGTGCTCTTTCCCAGGATAATGCCTTAACTGGGGAGGAATTGATTGGCTCGAACATCGAATCTAGGCTAACTTCATTGGAGGATTCTTTGAAAGAAATGCATTTCCTCAGTACCAGTAAGACAGTGGCCAAGATGTCACCTTTCTCTACTGCAGCACAAGAGCATGTGGAATTAAAGAGGGCTTTCGAGCTTTACAGAGGCGAGCGGAATCAAAAAGACCAAGCAACAGAACAACAAGTTGAGGAGTTAAAGACTGAAATACAAACAGTTCGAAGAAACATGACTACACAAGAACAAATCGATGGTATCATGGAAAAATTGGGCTTGGTTCCCACTATCCAAGCTGGCATGAATGAATTTCTACAAAATCAAAACGGCCTCGCTCAAACGTTAAACCAGATAGAAACTCGGTTCGATAATCGGCTCAATAGTCTTGTCAACAGCCAAAATGGCAACACCATTGCCATAACACAGCTTAACAATCGAATGGCTAATATATCAAGCGCAGATCTAGCGAAACATATGCTAGGCCAGCTAGAAACATTCTATCCCGATGTCAGAAAGGCCGAAACAACTATATCGGAACTTAGAAATCTGCTCTCGGAACACACAACCCAGGTCGAGAAGATCAAGAGTCAAGTCACTGTCCTTGGAAACCAACCTGTTCGTAAGCAATCTCCGGCACTTACAGGTAATCGAGCCACAGAATCTCTACGCCAAGAAGTGGACGCGTTGAGTAAAGACCAAATTCTCCTCGAAGCAGCCACCAAAAACAATCAGACGAATCTTACTGCACTTGAAGAGGCTTCCACTACCAACAAGAAGGCTCTCAGCAGTTTGATTAAAAAGGTCAAGGAACAGGAGAAAAATTTGGATGGGATGTCTTCAGCTTTCTGTGAAGCCGTCGCCGAGTTGTCAGTCAAGGTAGATGACCTTTTTCCAGATAGTAACAGTAACACTAGTGGATTAACTGGTGTTACCTCTACGCCCACACCGTCTATTCTACCTCTAGCTCGACAATATTCAGCCCAGGAAACGGGGTTGAACGGCAAAAAGAGAAAAGTTGGCACGGGTTCAGAGTCTACAAAACCTGGAGCTTCTACCAATGGGGTTGTTCAGAGCCCCGCGAGCAAGAGAGCGAAGAGAACCGATGATGACAACGAGGACCTCGAATTGTTCCAATAAATGAACTGAAGACTCGATTAAAAACATCCAATCTTACAAACTTGCAATATACGACTTTCACGATTCCTACGAAGCCTTTGACCGCATATAAACTAGCCAGCTTTGCTTTACTGATACCGAATTGCGCAACTAATAGTTGAATATTTCAGTCTCTAGTATCGTATAATCTCGCTTTGCCATCGCCAGCAACTTTCAATTTCGAGATCCCTTTTGTTCAGCGTTGAACACGAGTTTCATCGGGTCTGATTTTGGTTTTAAAGAGACAGGCTGGTTTGTACAAAAAGTAGATTTGCGGGATACATATGGATAGATGGCGTTGAACTTTGCTAAGGATGGCTATACTTGTGTGCGCGCGATATGTACGATACGACTTTCGATTTCCATTCGCTTTGTTTTGGTGCGTGCATAGGTGCATTGAATGATAGGATCGATTTCACCGCTCAGTTCAGAGACATGAACTTGAACCATCGAGGAGCATAGCTGAAAGATTGCTCGACGCATAAGAAGTAGACACTCTCAGATACTTTAATTGAGTATTTGCAACAATCAGTCTAGTAAGATGTTTAGGTATATCAAAATAGTAATATAATTAATGAAGAATCTCACTTTGATATTGCTATTCGACATTTATAACTTAAACTAATACTAGTTATTCACATTTTAAATTATTCTATTTCGATTTAATAATTTTTATAAACAAAATACAATCCACTTTATATAGATAGATTAAAACTACTAAATCAATTAGATAATAAGAATTAACTAGCGATAGTAGCGATATAGAGATCTCGCTTTAATAGATAGTTAGAGTATATATCTAATTGTTATACTCGTATAATAAAGGTGCTATTTGACTAATAGCAATAATTAGTAGTAATAAATAGTAGTAATAATTACAATAAACTCATCGGATTTGAGACTACTATATCGCCCTGTGGAAAGACGTAAATTCAATTTTTGTATTGTTATTGGATGGCCTTTTCATGCAAAGCAACAGCTTCAATGATTAGCAAAGGGTATTTATCTGTCAGATTGACCCAGGAAGCATTGTCGAATGCTGCAGCACCGCAAATGAGAGCTGGTGCACCAAGTTTTGCAAGAAGCCAATTTTTCTTTCATTTTCCCCTCATACATATTTTCCATACACCAAACGCCATTAGGGAATCTTCTTAGCCTAAGCAAATAACTCAGCATTATCCAGGGCATCCTTTGGCGCCTGCCTCCCCCCGCTCGTTCTAAGACCCAATTCTCCTTTCTTCGCCAATCTCTCAATGCCCTGTTCTGCCCTCGCATTATATCTCCCTGCCTTCTTTTTTCTGATTTCGCTTCGAACTTGGTTGGGAGACACGAACTCTTTGTTCTCGTAGATGATTGGTCCACCAAAACTTCCTTCTTGAATGACAATTGGAGTTAACACGAATCTTGGTCCAATCTCCACCAAGTTACATTCCGTGTCCTTGATCCCCGAGCTCTTGGATTTGGATTTCGCGGAAGTTTCTTCTTCGGCACCTTTGACTTTCGATGGCTCGGTCTCGTTGATCTGATAGTTTCGAATCCAGATTTTGCCATCTGCCAAAGTGAATCCCATAACATGATCGACAAAAGGTTTCGATTTTCTAGCACCCTTTGGTACACCGAATATATGGAGGAAGAGCTCTTTTAGTACGCGTAGATGAGGTTCTTTATCGAATGAGGCATCGAAAGACAGGATAGGTCGGGAGCCTTTTAGGCAATTTCCTGTAAAGTGAAGTTCTTCCATAGTGTGTACTTTGATGTGTTAGTAAGTGTTTCCCCCCAGAGATGGGCAATAAGATGAACATACAATTTTGCATATGCATCTTCACAGTAGGTCCATTGGGTGCTTTGCTCATCCATAGGTAAAGATCCTTTCCTTTTCTTGCCTCGAAGAAAAATACATTGTTACAATTATATAATTCCGCCAATTCGTTCAATTGATAAAGTTTCGACTTAGTATCAAGTTTCGCATCTTTCCTGCCGTGGGGAAGGAGAGATGCAAGGTCGTTGAGAAGATGTCGATGTCTAATTTCTCCAGTTAGCATTTTCTTGTGAATCTTCCATGATATAGATTATCTTTACCTGTAAGTAATTCCTCTAGAAGACAAGATTAAAACTCTTTGCTTATTTTTCTTGACACCATTTGCAGGACCCTCTTCTTTATGACCAATGGTCTTCGATAATGACTTGTAAACAGAAGCCATTTTATGTGTTGTGTGTAGGTAGATGTGTTTAACCTTAAGGCTATTGGGCGCAAAAAAGTTCTTGAGATCTCCAAACTTTCTTAAGAATTTCTTTGATAGCGTAAAGCGTAGTAAGCGCAACCTTAATTTTAGCGCATATCGATGTATTCCCTGCTAGTATATCTATCAGCCTTGCCTTTGACTCTTGAGTCAGCCTTGTCAAACTTAATTAAGGGAGATCCGGGTTACCGAAGGAAACCTTGGTATTGGTTATTTGGTAAATGGTAAATGATATTAGGTTTTTGGTACTCAAGTATTTGGTATTTGGTAATTATTTGGTAAATGTCACACACAGAATTGCACTTGGACTTGGACTTCCAATTTAAATCGATATATTGAATACTTTATTCGCCATTATTGATATATTAGGTAATTCATGACTTTAATATAAGATTACATGAGTATAAATAAGTATATAATAAGGGAGACAATGTACTCTTTTGTACGAGTATTTCCCCTCATAATGACGTTTGATTATTATGAATCATATACGATGGAAGAAGTACTCGAGTACATTCCCCCACTGATTATCTTTATACTATTATCTTCCTTCAACTTTCTTCCTTAGACCCCTTTTTGTGATTCAACTATTCAACTTCTCCTCGTTCAACCTTCGTGTTCAAAGTACTGTACAATACTACCGTACTACATACATAATGGCAACTTTCAAATCCCTCCACACTCGACTCCTCAAGATTCCAGCCCCACTCCTCCCACCTGCCTCGCCCCACGATCCAACCCTTACCTCGGAAATCGCCTCCCTTCAACTTCATCCAACCCTTGAGACTGCCCTCCACCTTCTGAACCTCGATTTGCCGTCCGCACATTTTTTGACTCGACATATGCAGTCAGCGCCAGCATTCGAGGGCATGTATTTGCATGGAATCTTGCACCGAATTGAAGGAGACTATGATAATGCGCGAGCATGGTACAGCGATGTCAAGGAGTCAGAGGTATACTCGAAGCTTTGGGGCAAGGGCGGCCAGACATGGAAAGCATGGCAAGAAGAGCACAAGAATGGGGGCGGTAGGGAGTCCTTAGACGATGGTCAAAGGTTTTTGGATGCTGTTCAAAAGTTCAAGGAGACACAGGGAAGGGGGGGTGACGGTGATAAGGAGTCCCTTGAGGAAAAAAGTAGGGGGGAACTTGACGGTGTTATCGAATGGTGTGTAAACAAGTTCGGCACATCCAAGATGGTCGATGCTAGTTCTGCTTGGGTCAGACCTAGTGATGGGATCAAGAAAATGGGTGAAGATCAAGTTAGCGGGGACAGCGGGAGAAGAAAGTTTTGAGGAAATAATCGTTAGAACAGACATAGAAATACAAAAACCATTGCATTAGACAAGCATAGCGATCGTTGCAGACGTGAAACCCCAAAGAGGACGAACCACCGGACAACATAATTGGAAAAAAAAGAGAAGATATCCTTGAGCCCGCTCATCGAGTGCTGAGCGTTTGCTTAGCCTTGACTTCGTGACCCCCCCATGCTCCCACAATGACACTTAAAGACGCCACACCTCTGTATCAACCATCAACCAATATGTTCATGTAGTTGCGCAAAGTAAGAACGCCTGGCTATTTAACAACATTTTCCGCCTCCCTTTGCTGCCTCGTCTGAAGGAGGAGGCGTGAGAGTAATATTTGTACCACTTGCGATAGTGGCCTGTGCAGAATCACCGTTATCGAGGGCTTTCTGGGACACAATTCGATAAATTTCTAGATTGAGAGACATCATTAGTTTCGTAAAATGATAGATAATTCAAAGGATCATACCAGTAAGGATGTTTTGAAAGGCAAGCTCAACGTTGCTAGCATCGAGAGCTGAGGTTTCAATAAAGGAAAGGTTGTTTTCGCCTGCAACGACAAAGATCAGCATCACATCTTCTTAGCAGACTGAGTATTTTCGTACTCGCAAATTGTTTGGCCTCCTCCGTGGGTACAGCTCTAAGATGCCTTAAATCACTCTTGTTTCCGACCAACATGATGACAATGTTGGAATCAGCATGATCCCTCAACTCCTTCAACCATCTTGTAACATTTTCGTAGGTTTGGTGTTTGCTAATATCGTAAACCAGAAGAGCTCCGACAGCACCTCTGTAATAAGCAGATGTAATGGCACGATATCTTTCCTGTCCAGCGGTATCCCATATCTGCGCCTTGATGGTTTTTGCATCCACTTGAATGGATCGTGTTGCGAACTCTACACCGATGGTCGATTTTGAGTCTAGGTTGAATTCATTTCGAGTAAATCGACTCAAGAGATTGGATTTACCGACACCAGAGTCTCCGATAAGGACAACTATGAGAGGAGAGAACAGAGTCAGCGACCAAGGTAGTAAGTAATAAGGCAAAGGAGAAGGTGAAGGGGGGGGGGGGTGGGGGGGGGGGAGGAGGGGAAGGGACGTTATTTACCCTTGAATAGGAACTATCAAAGAGATTATTAGCATATTTTGTGATTTCGTGAGATATAACCGGAATTTGATAATATACTTACGTCGTATTCGTCGTTCGCCATGATTGATGTTGACGTGGAATAGTGATTATTATTGAAGGGGTAAGGTCTCGATGGATTTCGTTGTTGCGATGGATAGATGGTGGATATGCGAGAAGCCGGGGGGTGTTTCTCTTTAATTGAAGTTCCCTATAAGATTAATTACAATTATTTAATTAGTTTACTTATATAATTATTATAAGTAAAGCAATTATAATATAATATATTGTATTTTAATTAGATGTTCTAAACTTCGTTTTACTTGAGTATATTGAAATATTTAATTATAGTTATTAGATTATATATAAAACTAAAATTAAAAATTAGATTAATAATAATAATAATAATAATAGTATTATTATTCTTATTAATTTTATTATTATAAAACTAATCAAATAAGAGTATTATAATAATATATTCATTACTAACTATTTAATAATCTATTTGTTCACAAGAATTATAATTATTTATTATTTACTATTATATTTGAGTATTATATAAGTCGTTTCGGAATTGGTATTTTCGGGGCGCGAGTTTCACCTGAGAAGTCAAACCACGTGATAGCGTACTTATTTTGATATTTTGCCATTCGTTCGTAGCCATGACTTTGTAGTAACATTGCGCCAAACGAACAAAATCAAATTCATGTACTCGAGTGTTTACTTGTAATATTTAAATTTCTCATGTCAATAAAATGAACTTAATATCCCACATTTCGTGAATTGGATTGAATTGAATTCTACAAGAATAATTCATCATCCATCACCTCTCTGCTTTTCCAGCCAAACTGAACCAACACTCTTTCATCACATTGTCTTCGATTTGACCTCAGTAACATTGAAATACTTACCTAACCTTCCTCCAAATTCTACAATCCGCTGTCTATACCTCCTTCCTTTGGGCAATTTAGGGTGCAATATGTCGTCCAAAAAATCATCCAAGAAACCATCAAAGCAAAAGGTCTTCAGCTCTCTCGAAGAAGACGAGATTTCTAAATTATCAATAGAATCAACGGATGAGGAGCAATATCCTTCAGATCATGAATATACGGTGGAACGCATTCTGGCTCAAAAATCGAAAGATGGTCAACAGTTGTATTTAATTAGGTGGGCGAATTTTCCAGAAGAAGCATCATCGTGGGAACCAAGAAGAAACCTACTGGACAAAACGATTATTGATGCTTGGAAAGGACGACGAATTCGCGAATCTGAGGGTTTAGATACACCGTATGACGTCGGAAAACTCGAAGCTTTGAAGAAGATGGTTGAGGATAGTAAAGCACAACGTGATCGTTTGCGACGTGAGAAGAGAAAGCGACTGGGCATAGTCGTGTCTCCCCCTGAATCCGATGCAGATGATGGCGACAAACAGCCAACAAGTACACACGCACCTGTTAGTAACTCTACACTCGGTGGTGAGAAGAGTTCTGAAAGACAACAGCAAGTTCAATCTACTAAAAAGACTAAGGTATGCTCGACAATTTGCGAGAACTACGGAATTATTCCAACTAACTCTATGTAAGATCATAAGACCTGAACAGATCGATGCCCATTCGTCGTCTGAAGAACCACTGTTCGTGAATCCACAGCGAAAGGCGACTTCGGGAGCCTCGTCTCCGACAAAAGTACCCCAAGTGCAGAAGAAATTACAGAAGCATGTTACTTTACAGGGCACCGCCAGCGACACCCAAGAGACAACAGCCGCCAAAGGCTCTTCAGCCTTTCGAGGTGTCCAAAAGACTCGAGGAGGAGGTGCTATGCGAGGAGGCTCTTCTCTGCCTTCACAAAATGTTTTTAATGGTGGTAAAGCTGCTAGGAAAAAGAAAGCAGGTTTGATTGAAGCTGCTGCAGATCCGTTGAAAGATCAGCGGCATTTCAAGAACAGACACCTCATCAGAAAGGCGGAACTTGCTGGTAGAGCGCTGGCGGATGCAGCACCAGATATTACTGCAATTCCTGGTGGCTTGATCAAGCCTTCAAAAGCTTCATCTGTCCAACGACCGGAGACTCTCAGAAGAATTCCCTCTCCTTCACAGAACGAAGAGGGAAACATTCGGAGAATGGCACCGGCTCAGCCACCCCATAATCAGCAACAAGATCTCCAGCGACTGCCAAATAATTTACTCCACGTGTCTGAAATGCCCTGGGAAGACGTACAGCATATCCCGTACGAGCAACGATCAATTTGCTTCTTCTTTAGTCGGCCGCAAGGATGTCATAATAGTCGCTGCAAGTATCTCCATGTCGACGATCCTCTACTTCCCATCGCCCCGCCCCCCGACGGGTGGTTCGAGTCACAGAAAATTTGCTTCTTCTACAATTCAGATGGAAATTGCCGGAACGGTGACACCTGCAAAGATTTACATGAGTCGGGCACTAATCTTCCAGTCAATAAACCACCTCCTGGATGGGTAGTTCCAGGCCCGTCTACCAAAGTAATGCTTAGAGAAGCCCATGTACCGGTCGATGTAGATGTCCCGAAGCTGATTTGTTTTGACTGGCAGCACAGAAAATGCCACAAAGGAAATGCCTGCAAGTTCGCTCATCCAAACGACAATGATTTCCCGGTGGCACCAAAACCTGGCTCCATTCCTTGCAAGTACTGGAAAGGAGGTTTTTGTTGGAATAAAACAAATTGTCATTTCCTGCACGAATCTGCTCAGGACAGTCGTCGGGCAGCTTACATGAGTCAAGTTTACACGAAGGTAGCCAATTTTGGAACCTCAGACAAAGAAAGTTCGCAGCTTCCACTACAAGGGTCAAAATCTATTCCAATATTTGATGACAGCGATACGTTGAATTTCGAGATGGACACAGTATCTGATTTTACGCCGCTTGAGCCAAACCTTACGGAGTGCGAGAAGTCAACAAATTTCGATAATTACTCAATGGATAAGACGGTACAAAGCATAGCCACCAACGTCAAGGCAGTCACATTCGGTCCACAAGACCAACCTATCTACCTCGACTTTGAAAACGTTCCACTGGATACTTCAGACTGGACAAGAGCCTTCGCAAGTGTAGACAACGTAAGGTTTGACCAGATGTGTACGGCACACGATTTCAAGTTAAGATATGGCCAGATCCAATCATCTGCCTTCTGGCCACAGGATGTCAGCACGAACTCTACTGATCAAGCTGGACGCGACACGGTCGACAGTGTAGCCGAAGATCTTTGTCTCCGAATGGCTGGCTTGGCGTGTATTTCCGACACTTATATTGTTCTACTCTACCCATCTGTGGCCGAAGAATGGAAGTATTTAGATGTAATGCCTAATATTTCTACTGGCGCTAAACTGAAGTACTTGATATTTGGCTCTCAGAGCCCTGTACTAAGTTCCATCAAATCTTTGACCATCAACCAAACGTCATCGAAGGATCTTTCCTACAGAGACATGATGATGAAAAGTTTTCACCATTTTGATTACGAACAATTGATACCAGAACAAAAAACGAAGAAATTGGTCAACTTTTGTCTTATATTTCCCGCATCTGCAAATCACATAGCGGAATCGATATCATCTTGGCTTCGTAGCTGCTCAAAAGAGAGTAAGATATACAATTATCAGAAGGCAGGATGTTGGGATTATTTCAAAAAGCATGTCAAAGCCGGAGCTGTGTTAATACACTCGTCTGCGCTCAATTTGATATCCGATACAGACCTCATTCAGGATATGACAGCGGGAGTGAACTACTCATTTTGGTGCATCGAAGATCCCACATCTAAAGTGCCGTTCTCCTTCAATGGCTTTATCAGTCCAAAATCAGAACTGGGTCACATTGTAACAAGACGACTCTTGCCTCTTGGTTGTGCCATACTTCTCACGCCAAGCTTTTTGGTCGCAGAACCGGTGATGTCCTTAAAACTCTTGACATGGTATCAAAAGAAGCTCAAAGGCTCACTAACAGGTTCGGTAAGAATATTGTGCTGCCACGAACTTCCGAACTTCCTCCTGGAACTATTTATTTCAAAGGTTGCAGAGCAACAAGAACTCATGAAGAGTCTTGCTGGCGACCCATCGATCCTCTCCAAGCTAAGCGAAAGAGGACTAAGTCAAGACCAATGTGAGGCGAGGATTACTCTCTATTGGCTTCTCTGTGATATGCTCCGAAAGGATCTTCCCTCTCATCTTTCTCCGTTTGACCGTGATCCAACCGAAGAAAATTCACGAAGTCCGTTGCTTTTTGCGCCTCGGTCTATTGATCAGTATGACGAGAAGAAGTTAGTTTCTTGGTTTTCGGGCTGGTCGTTCGCAAACCTTCATAAATACAGGCGGTTTTACGTGATCGGTTCTGGAACTTCAAAGAAGGGTGTCGGCATTCCAGTGAGAATGATCCCAGAAGAGGATGTCTTCCCGCAGAATTCCAAAGCTTTCCGGGAAGGCGGTGCACTGGCGTGGGCAAGGCGAGGAAGGGAGCCAATTTCTGTTGTCACTAAGGCTACAGAACCACCAACACCAGATCCGAGGGAAGTGAAGTTGAAGGAATACACATACGATTTTACGGACGACTGGTACTCTCAATGGAAAGAGACACGTGAAGGACGGAGCGCACATCATATAATTGTGCATAAGTGGGAACGTGTTTTCCAGTCTCTAGGCATCCATCACTAATAATAGATAGTCTACATAGCTGCTGTAAATGACATGAATCCTCAATTACAAGAAATAAGGAAGTCCATATGATACGGAAATATAAGAGCGTCTCGCCACGAACTTCGTGGTAGTAATCAATTTTCTTTTATGCCGCTGGCTGGCTTTGGGATCCTCCAATCGCATTTTGATCTCATACAACAAATCATGCATCAGATCAGGATAACATCCTTTTCCCAAATAACAAATACCAAAGCTCAATTTATCTCTTCATGCATCCTTTTCTTAAGAAATATTGCAGCGAGACCATGAACAATTCCTGAAACCTCAGAATAAGACGTTGGAACATCCGAACATGATCGGAGATATCTTTCACTTCTTCGGCGTCGGGTCGATGCATGATATGTATCTTCCGGCCAATCATGTGGATTTTGGATGTGATATACCGGTCCATAGCAGCTTGCATCGGATCCTCTATTATAAGCATCTAAGATAGATCAACTAAAGCAGCCAGACCCCCAATATCATATGTGAGTCCCTTTCATGGCTGGATATTCAATACCATCCTTGTCAGCTGTCCATCGTTTGAAGTTATCTTTGATACCAGGATATCGGTATTCAATTCTATCATTAATAGCTGGACGCTTACTCGAAGAATTTTCTGCAAGAGGCTGATTTACTCCTTTGACCTCCTTTCTATCGAGCTCCCTTTGCATTGTAGGCATTTTTGAGAAGCAAGAGGGACTCTCTTGTTACATCTTTACTCTTGCAATGAAGAGAACATAAACATGTGAGAAATTATGTCCATTATATTGTCATCGAACTAAACTTACATTCCTCCCAGTACACTTGACCCGCGACAAAGTGCATGTTGTCAAACAGCTTGCAAGATTGGCATTTGATTAATGGCATAATCAAGGATGAACACGACCTTTCCTAGATGGTATATAATATAGGCATTTCCAGATCTTAGTAATTCCAGCCCGGTACTCGGTACTCGGTACTCGGGGTTCTCGTTAGTTTTCGCTTAGCTTACGAAATCTATCAATAAACCCCCTTTCAAAATTTGCTAAACTGTATGTCTTCTCTCTAAATTCGTTAAATGTCTTTTTGACTTCTCAGTATTGTGCCAGAGAGTTCTTTCACCAATTTTGACATTTTCAAAGACGATATAGTATAGCTAAATGTCATTTCTATCAAATATACTAGTCTTATATTATTATTAATTTTATTTTATCTATTGAATACGACGAATATTATAAACGCTAATGACGTATTCTGTTTCTAGTCAACGAGCGTGTTATGAAAGTTGCTATTCAAACAGACTAGGAGATATAATACTACGAGTTAGTATATAGTATTATTTTCTAAAGAGTATATATAGTCTATTTATATTATTACTAGAAATAAAGAAATTGTTCGGATAATTATCTAAATAGATCTAGAGTACTAAGCCAAGTAGCTGAGCTTATTAGATTATAAGTATAAGATTAGAGTATTATTAATTTATAAATATAATAGAAAGAGCTAAACTTAAAATAGTAAAAATTATATACTATATATAATACGAATAAAATCTAGAATAATATATAGACTAATTCTAATATACGTTTTGGTATATAACTTTATATTTCGAATCTCAAATAGTATAAATACTATTTTTTAACTCGAGATATCAAAATTTATATACTATTTTCAATTTATAATAATAACTTAAT